AAAAAAAAAAAAAAAAAAAAAAAAAAGGCGGATCTTGGTGAGTTCAAGGCCAGCCTGGTCTGCAAAGGGAGTTCCAGGACAGGCTCCAAAGCTACAGAGAAACCCTGTCTCGAAAAAAAAGAAAAGAAAAAACAAAACAAAAAAAAAAAACCACCCATAAACCAAACTATTTACTTACTTTATATGTGTGTGTGTGTGTGTGTGTGTGTGTGTGTGCCTCATGCATGTCTGTGCACCATGTTCATACAGGACCTGGGAGGTCAGAAGAAGGTATTGATTTCCCTGGAACTGGAGTCACAAATGGTTGTGAGCCACCATGTGGGGAGTGGGAATTGAACCTGGGTCCTCTAGAAGAGCAACCAGTGATCTTAACTGCTAAGCTCCCTCCTCTCTCTAGCCCCCAGATTTTCCTGTGACTTTGATTTTTTGAGACAGGGTTTCTTTGTGTAGCCCTGCCTGGCTGTCCTGGAATTCGCTTGTTTACCAGGCTTACCTTGAACTCTCAGAGATTTGCCTACCTCTGGGATTACAGGCCTGCACCACACTGCTAGGCTTTTCTTGTTATTCCTGAAGATCATGTATCAGCATGTCTATGCATAACCCTTTGTGTATTTGCGTTCTATCTCTTTCTTTTTCATGTCAAAGTCTTTCCAACTATCCTGCAGAATGGGTCTACCAGTGGTCATCTCACCCTGGCCAAGTCCTTCCTATATCCCTCCTACCCCAGGGGAAGGAAAGCACTAGAGGAAGGGGACAGAGACAGAGCTCAGCGAAATTGTCTATCCTTCAGGAGTCCCAATCCAAGAAGAGGCCACAGCAGTTAGGCAGCTCCGCTGTGTCCCTTGGATGACTGTTGGAGGGAAGACTAAAGACATGAGAATGTGGGACGTGAAACAAAGCCAGATGAATGTGTCTTCGTCAGTGTTTTCTTAATTTTTACTTATTATTGTTGTGTGTGATGTGGGCGGGGACATGCACGTGCCACAGTCCGTGTGCGGAGGTCAGAAGACAAATCAGGCTTATCTAGCAAGAGCTTTACCCACTAAGCCACCCAGGTCTATGTTTCTTCTTCTTGGCATAGGGTTTCACGTATCCCAGGATGTCCAAGAATGGCCTATGACCCTTGAGCTTCCGAGCCTCCTGCCTTCGATCAGTATTTTCTAAAATTGTTTTCTTTTTTGAGACAGGGTTTCTCTGTGTAAACAGTCCTGGAACTCACTCTGTAGATCAGGCTGTCCTCAAACTCATAGAGATCCACCTGCCTCTGCCTCCCAGTTGCTGGGATTAACGGCATGCACCACCACAGCCCGGCTTCTAAAATATTTTAGAGAGCATCAGCGATGGGGACAATGGATCAGGCAAATCGCTTCAGCATCCACATAGGAACATGTGTGAGAACAAAAGGGCACACCAGCGGTAACTGTGCTGAGAGGGTACAGCAGAAACACTTGTTATCCCAGCAGCACTGAGGCAGGGGCATTGCCATGAGTTTGGGGTCTGTCAGGACTATACAAGAGTTTCAAACTAGACTAGGATAGAGTAAGACCGTATCTCAAAACAAGTAAAAAACAAAACCCCAAACCCCAGGTATGTACACACTTTTAATCCCAGTATTTGAGAGGCAGAGGCAGGGGAGGAATCTATTATGAGTTCAAAGTCAGCCTGGACTATGCAGTGAGACCATCTCAAACATACATACATACATACATACACACACACACACACACACACACACACACACACACACACACACAGAGGAGGGGGAAGCACACAGAGACACACGGACAGACAAGACAGAACAGATAGTGACTTTTCCAGGTTCCATGGCTGGGACAGTCACCAGGCAGGGGACAGGTCTATTCAGGGGTTCATTCAGTTCCACTGTGTGACCTGGGGCTGCTCTAACTCCCTCTGCTCCCTGCCTCAGGGGCCGCCCTCGTGCCTGCACTGTGCTTCTGGGGCTTCAACGGCCTTCTACTGATGGTGGACACAACAGGGAAACCCACCTTCATCTCCCGCTACCGCATCCAACTGGGCAAGAATGAGCCGGTAAGTGTCACTGCATCTCTGAGTGCTGAGAATGCAGGAACCAGTCAGGGCAAGACAAAGGCTTACCTTAGAGGCACCCTAATCCAGAAGGTTAAAGAGAAGGAAGCTGGGTGTGTGTGCGTGCTTGGTAGGTAGAGTGCTTGTCTAGCCCAGGAACAGCCCTGGGTTCCATCCCCAAAGCGCTAGTGTGTGCAGCTATAATCCAAGCATTCAGGGAAGTGGAGGCAGGAGGATTAGAAGTTCAAGGTCGTCCTTGGCAACACAGGAAGTCTGAAGGTACCTAGGTACTTGAGACCTTGTCTACAAGAAAAGGCCAGTGACATGATACAGCAAGTAAGGGCATCTCCTGCCAAGCCCAAAGACCTAAGCTTGGTCCCTGGAACTCCAGTGTCAGAAAAGAACCAGCTCCATTTATTCTGGGCTCAGAGGCACCTACACACACACATACACACACAAAACCAAAAAAATATCAAATGGAAAGGCCACTCAGCCAGTAGCCAGTCTAGACCAATGTCCTGGTCTCCTTATTCCCACCACAGGCTGCCTCATGATACTGTGCTTAGCATATTAGGAAAAGGAATGACTGCCTCCACCTGGACTGGGCTGTCTCTGAGATACCAGCAGCACTTTACCCAGGGCACTGAGACCATGGATCTGAAACCAGACATCTACTATCCCAAGGGAGTCATCCCCAGGGTGGCTGGGGATGGTGCAGACTCTGGGTGTATAAGGTGGTCGTTTTAGCAAATCCTTTTTATTTTGTTTAATGTTTTTTTGAGACTGGGTCTCTGTGTAGCCCTGGTTGTCCTGGAACTCACTATATAGACCAGGTTGGCCTCGAACTCAGAGATCTGCCTGCCTCTGCCTCCCGAGAGCTGGGATTAAAGGCATGAGCCACCATCATCCGAGGCAACCAGTAGTGTGTGTTCTCAAAACAACCCCAGTAAGGCAGGAACAGCGCCGGCACTTGCTCACTGTAGGGGTTCAATCACCACACTGCAGTCTGGACCAGCCTTCCCGGTGTTCTGACAACCTGCAGAGACGATCTTACACAACAGGGCAGAGGCTGATTCTGAAAACAAACTGTTCCCTCAGCCCCACCCAAACCCTGTCCTGGCAGTTGGCACTTAATCTGCCCAGGTGCCCGGTGAGTCACTTCTGCTCTCAAGGCAGTCTGCCCAGCCTGGCACCAAAGGCAGTAGGGTTGAAAGGAGTCCTGATGGAGTCCTCTGAAGTGGTCTCCTCCTGAGATGGCAGCTGCCAGAAAGCTGGGAGGGCTTCCTGCAGCCCACTCTGGCAGAACAGACTGGAGCCCTCTGTGTCCGCATTAGTAGGCCTGCCGTCTCCAAAGCAGCCACCACTGACTCATGCCTTCATCTTTGAGGCTGAGCACTGTGAACACTGACCTTCATGTCAGATAAGGCTTTGCCATGGGCCCTGGGTAGGACATGAGATGGACCAGAACTTCTTTCTTCTCTCCTACCCCAAACAAGGTCTCATGGAGCCCAGGCTGGCCTCCAACTTGCAATACAGCTGATGATGATAACTCCTGATCTTCCTTCCACCACCTCACCGGGTTATCCTGCACCCAGGGCTCCGAGGATACTCCAAGGGAAGGCACTTTACCCACTGACAGGCATCTCAGCCCCACCCTGGGCCTTTCTAGCCCCAGGGCTCCAAAGGATCCTCCCCAGTCTACAGATCTGAATACCACACGGTACCTAGAAACCTTCCTATAGGCAGTGACAGGAGAGCAGTAGGCGGGGCTAGAGGTGGGGGAACCGGTCAAGTTTTAATCCAGGCCCCAGAGGCAGGCCGAGTTCAACTTGTCACTCCAAGGCCAGCACAGCTGTTTCAGACTTTCTGAGGACACTTCAGGAAGGACCTTGGGAACATCTAGTCCCTGGCTAGCTGTAGGAGGTGCTCTTCTCTTTTTCTTGTCCCGTCTTTTTTTTTTTTTTTTTTTTTTTGGGGGGGGGAGGTTCTCAAGACAGGGTTTCTCTGTGTAACAGTCCTGGTTATCCTAGAACTTGCTTTGTAGACCAGGCTGGCCTTGAATTCACTGAGATCTAATTGCCTGTGCCCCCCAAGAGTTGGGATTAAAAATGTGCACCACCACCACTGGGCTCAGAGGTGGCTGACTTAACAGGATCCCAGGAACAGATGACCGAGGGAGCTGAGTGTGGCAGGCATTCCTAGGATCCCAGCCTGCTCAGAGACACCCCTATCTCCTCCTTGTCTATGGACACCTCTGCCCTCCCACCTCCTCCTTCCTAGTCTGGACCCCACTGTACTGAGGAAATGGAATGAAACTCCATGCCCAGATCCCATAGCGCTGGGTCTCACGCTCTGTCCTGGGTTGTGCCTGCCATGTGTCCTGGCTCCTGTCCTTTTTGACCCAGGAAATGGCTTCAGCATTCTTCCCTCTTTCTTACTACTCTGTCTCTCTCCCAACCCAGTTTATTTTTTCTCTGCATTATCACATAAATGCTTTGCTTGTTCCAACTCTAAAATTAAAACACAAACCTTGGCTGGGTGTGTTGACACACACCTAGAATCCCAGCATCTGAGTGGGAGGCAGGAAAATAGATTTTTAAAAATATGTACGGGTGCTTTGCCTGCTGTATGTCTGTGTACCACACATACCCAGAGTTCAGGACAGGTTATCAGATTGACAGTCTGGAGCTGCAACATGCATGGAGGAAATCAAACAGGGTCCTCTGTAAATACAGTGTTCCTTACCACTCAGTCTTTTCCCCAGCCCCGGCCCCACTTACCAAAAATACACACTGCCACCTGTTATGCTCCCCATTGAGGGCAAGCACTCTGATAGATCCATCTACACACTCAGAGCTGTCTATACCTAGTCCAGTCGTCTACACACTCAGAGCTGTCTATACTGTCTCAGTTATCTTTGCAGCCCCTCAACTAGCTATGTAGTCTGTCCTTCCTCTTGTCTGGTTTTTTTCCCCAAGCATTTAATAGTAAGAAAGTTTTAAACAGAGAGAAATGTAGGAAAAATATAGACTCATCTACATAGTTCAGTCAACCATTTAATAACTTTCTCCAAATTGTTCCAAGTTTGAGACAATGGATGACTATTTTTTCTAGTCTTCTGTTGCCTCATTCCTTTCTGTCAGCCCAATTCTCATATATTCCCAACAGTGATCCTGTAGACACCAGGGCACTTGGTGGAGGCTGCCAGTTAGGCAGACAATCCAAAGCAACCATTTAGTCTTTTCTCCTGGGACAAGTTTGTCATCTGCTCAGCCTCTCTGGGTTGGCCACAAGTAGAGCTGAGGTTGGGGACCTGCCCATGCTGTCCTCACACCCATGCAGATGCCTTGTTCCCTTTATGAAGCTCGGCAGTCCAGCTAGCTCTGAGGTCACATAGACCTCTTCTGGAACGCTTCAAGATGGCTGAGCCTGTTGGGCAGTGGTGGCGCACGCCTTTAACCCCAACACTCAGGAGGCAGAGACAGGTGGATCTCTATGAGTTTGAAGTCTTGAAACACAAACAAGGAAAAAAAAAAAAAAGGCCGAGCCCACCATCACTGCTTATATCTCCGTGTTTAACTGGTATTTGTTTCATTGTCCCTGTAGAGCAAGCACAGCACTAGGTGTTCTGTGGGCCAGAACTCAGCAGTCAGTGGTGGACTCTGGCCCACAGAGCATGTTCTGATGGGACATTCTCGAGGACAGAACTGTACCACTCAGCATTGCCAGCCCACCTATGGACTACCCCAGTGAATCCCAGAAGCCTACCCTGAGCAGGTTAGGTAGAAACCTAATTCTCATGTGTGCCCCCTCCCCACTCCTTCTGTTCTCCGGCAGGTTGACCCCGTGAAGTTGCGCCAGTCTATCCGCACAGTTCTTTTCAACCAGACTATGATTTCTCTTCCCATGCTGGTCATCTTCTATCCTTTCTTCAAGTGGAGGCGAGACCCCTGCTGCCAAGAGCTTCCCACCTTTCACTGGTTCCTTGTGGAGTTGACCTTTTTCACCCTCGTGGAGGAAATCCTGTTCTACTACTCACACCGGTGAGCTATGTGCACAGCTGGCCTCACCCTGGCACAGCTCCATGGTCAGTAGTCACTAAACCGTGTGGTCTCTGTCCTCAGGCCCTACCCCAAAATCGCTAGACACACAACTGATTCTCCAAGTTGACACAATGCCAAGGGAAGGGAAAGCTGCCGTTAGTATGAGAGAATGGGTCAGTTACCATCCACTTTCAGATAGTCCTTTCTAGACATCAGTTTACTTTACCACTGGGGTTGTCAGGCAACTTAGATCAGCCTCATCATCCAGTCAGACTAGAGGCAAGGAGTAGATGCCAGCTCCACAGATGGAAACCTCATTCTTACCTTTCTTTTCTGATGATCTATCTGCTCAGGAGGGAGAAGGGTGAGCTGGCAATTACCAACTATAAATTATCTTTCCAGGCTCCTTCACCACCCAACGTTGTACAAGAAAATTCACAAGAAACATCACGAATGGACAGCACCCATTGGTGTGATCTCGATCTATGCCCACCCTATAGAACATGTGGTAAATACAGCCCCTGGAGCCACAGATGTAGTTCCCTGCCCTTATTTTTTTTTCTTCCCACTGAATAGCTGCCATCTCTTGGCTGTGCCAGGTGCCCACTGTGTTCTTATTCTCCCCCAACAACTTTTTACACACCGACTCTGCTGAAGAGGAAGTGAAACTAAGTTGAGCTATCTAATTTACAATTCAAGGTCTCCCTGCAGCACCATGAAGGGCAGAGTAAGCATCCAGCTGGCTCTCTCCAGGACCATCCTTTTTCTTACAGGTTTCCAACATGTTGCCAGTTATGGTGGGTCCACTAGCAATGGGCTCTCATCTGTCCTCCATCACTGTGTGGTTGTCCCTTGCTCTCATCGTCACCACTGTCTCGCACTGTGGTTACCATCTGCCCTTCCTGCCTTCACCTGAGTTCCATGACTACCACCATCTCAAGTAAGCCAACAGCACCCTTTCTCAATTCTTGTCTCTGTGGACAGTGCTGTCTCCATCTAAATGTGAGCCAGTCAGGGAGTTTTCCCTGACATCTTTTTCCCTGACATCAGGTTTCTTCCTGCAGTTCATAATGTTAACCATTATTTGGGTTTTGGGTTTGCTGAATCTCGAGCTTTAAATCATCTCAGAACCTATGTACATTAAAAACTCGGCACTTATGGAATGTGGGCTCTTTTCTTGGTTTTGAGAGTTTTTCTTTTTGTCCAGGGTGGGGGTGAGGGTTCAAAACAGGGCTTCTCTGTAGCTTTGGAGCCTGTCCTGGAATTAGCTCTTGTAGACCAGGCTGGCCTTGAATTCACAAAGATCCCCCTGCCTCTGCCTCCCAAGTCCTGGGATTAAAGGCATGCGCCACCACTGCCTGGCTTGAGTTTTTTTTTTTTTTTTTTAAAGTAATCATGCATCATACCCAGAAGAGGGCTGGCAGGCTCTTGCCTAGCATGTGCGAGACCCAGGGTTCAGTCCTCCAGTTCAGAAATAATCACACAGTGGCTCACAACTTTAATCCTAGCACTGAGGAAGTTGAGGCATTAATAGTGTCAGTTTAAAGCCAGCTGCACATAGTGAATTTCAGTTGAGTTTGGTGAAACTGTCTCAAGAACAACAACAAAACCCTAAACTACCTTCCAACAGACTTCAAATGCTCCAGGCTCTACTGTTACAGCTGGGCAACATGGTGATGCTAAGTATGGGAAAGGAGGGCTGAGAGAAGCACAGCTTCCCAACAGTTTCAAATGGAAGATTCTCTTTTCTCCTGCAGGTTCAACCAGTGCTATGGGGTACTGGGAGTGCTGGACCACCTGCATGGGACTGACATCATCTTTAAGCAGACCAAGGCCTATGAGAGACATGTCCTCCTGCTGGGCTTCACCCCACTTTCAGAGAGCATCCCTGATCCTCCCAAGAAGATGGAGAGTTCTCTTGGACCATCCCAACTGTTCCCTCACAAGTAGAAGGTGTGGAGACTGCCCGGGAGCCATGATGCCCTTAACAACTTGCCTCCTTTTGCTACCATACTCTAAGGATTGTACCATTAGGGTACAGGAAAAATACAAGCTTCCTGCCAGGACAAGGCCATGAAAGGGCGGACCTGAGCTTCCCCCAAACTACTTGTCATGTTACCTTGGGCCCAGGAGTTGACTTAGGGAAAAAGAACTAGCTATTTGGGTTGGAGGCCAGTCAAAGGAAAGTCACCAAGAATCTGGTGGTCTCCTTCGGTCCTCTGCTCCAATTCCCACACTTGGCTCCCCTGGGGGACAATGGGCTGGCAGTAGGACTGGATGATTACTGATTAAAAATCTCCCCCCAGCAATTACCCTGAGAACACACGGTTCAATCTTTAAATGGTAACTCAACGGTGAGCTATAGCAGCAGGGTTTCTTCTCCTGACAGCTCGTGACTGGGAACCCTGGGATCCCAAGAACTTGGCAACTGTTAAGGTGGATCTGGAAGGCTGCCACCATTACCATTTGTTAAATCTCTGCACAACTGTGCCAGTCTTACATGTTCAGTTCAAGGTTAGTCAAGACTCCTTATTGTAGATTAAATAAAACACCTTTTTAAAAAAAAACCCACACAGCACAGTACAGCGGTTTGCACTGTAGTTCACAGCTGCTCTGGAGATTTAGGTCCAGTTCACAGCCAGCCTAGACAAACACAGCAAAACGTCGATGTCCGGTAAGCCAGTTCTCCAAAACAGGGCTTCACCCCATGGTGCTGAGGCCAACACAAGACTGGGTCAGCTGGCAACCTAGCACTTTGCCGGCAGTCCTAGCCTCCTCTGGCCTTGGTAACCTGTGCTCTTGGATTCCTTCAAATACAAACCCACTCCTCCACTTTACCCCCATCGCTGGATGACAGCCATTCCCTTTCTCATGAGCAATACTCTCTGTGCTATCATCCAAGGGGGCAGGGACAATTAAAAAATGGAGATGAAGTACTGTCAAGAGTACATGGCCACTTGGGAGGCAGAGGCAGGCGGATCTCTGTGAGTTCGAGACCAGCCTGGTCTACAAGAGCTACTTCCAGGACAGGCTCCAAAACCACAGAGAGGGGGCTGGAGAGATGGCTCAGTGGTTAAGAGCATTGCCTGCTCTTCCAAAGGTCCTGAGTTCAATTCCCAGCAACCACATGGTGGTTCACAACCATCTGTAATGAGGTCTGGTGCCCTCTTCTGGCCTGCAGTCATATACACAGACAGAACATTGTATACATAATAAATATTTAGAAAAAAAAAAAGAGTACATGGCCCGTCTCTATAAGGCCCTAATATTGGTGAATAAGGTCTTAAATTCTTCATAAAAGCGTGACAAAGCATGTAAATAAAGTCTCTATAAAACTAACAGATTGTGTTGCCCCCTCCCCATACACACACTGTAAAGCACTAGAAAGTAAGGCCACACAACCGAGGAGCCAGCTGACAAGGCCATCTCTAATGACTGTGACTGAGGTGAGTATGGCTCACCCGGCAATCTACAGAAGGCCATTGGTGGCAGTTATCATCCACCAATGATGTTTTTAAGAACACATCATTGTTCTTAAATTTAAGAAACTCTTAAAAACAAACACAGCAACAACTATGCTCATGCAGAGATAGTGTGGGCTTCTTACCTGGGGGCACACACCAGGTTGCACTCTGACACCCAACAGCAGTGTTTCAGATGGGAGACCAACCAGTTTGTTTTTTTTTTTTTGCCTTTTCAAGTTTTTATTTTTATACATTTTTTTTGTATTAAAAAGAAAAAGCATAATAATTATCACCAATTACAAAGGACTAGAGCAGGACCAGAAGAATGAATCACTTCAGCCTGGGAAGCAGACACTCTCAATAATATTAATGTTATGATACAAGCTCATTCAAGTATTTTACAATTTTTTTTGTCCTGTTGAATGTGATATCCTAGCACATGGTAAAGACAATGTACGAGCGTTAAGGTGGAACCTTCTCTGAAAAGCCCATGACGAGTTTTCCTCTCCTGTGAGAACTGAGCTTAGAGTTCTCTTCTGCCTCTGCCATCACCATAGCTGGAGGAGAGAGTGGGGCTGGGGAGAGTCTAGGGGCCCTTTAACAAGAGAGGTATTCTGGGGCTCCCATCCAAAGGACCAGGTAACCCAAGCCTCTGGTACACTCCACCATTAGCCTTGTCTTCACACCCTTTCCCTTGCTTCCAGACCCTCCAAGCAGCTTGCTTTTCTTTGTAAATGTCATCAGAAAGGAGTGGGAAAGAGCAACAGAACAAAAACATTTAACAATCTGACACAGGGCTCAGCACCTCTGTCTGAACCCAGGTCCAGGCTGGAGCAGGGCCATGCAGCCTTCTCTTCGAGTAGTGCATTTGTTCTGAGGCTCAGAGGGCAGAACACAATCTGCCCCTTGCTGGGCCCAGGCCAATGACCACCCTGTACAGGCAGAGGATGAAGGAGGTTCAGTTTGGCAGGCTGCCTCTATCTTAGGTCTTGGATCCCATGGGAAGATGGTGATGGGGAAGTAGCTTGCTCTGCTGGCCCCTGCCACTCCTGGAATACTTGTCACAGATACATCGGTCCTAAATTCAAGTGTCTTCAGAAGGTGAAGATGTAAACTACTCTGCAACGTCAACTCCTAACATGTCACAACAAATATACACATACACACACACACACTCACACTCACTCACTCCCACCCCTCCTCAGCCTGTGTTGAGATGATAGCCTTGCCTTCCCGCCCCAAAGGGGCTTCCTCCCTCAGAGGGCCTGAGAGGATCCGGAAGATGGCAAACCTAGCCTGGATAGTCTAGATGGGAACAACTTTCCCCCACCCTGGGCCTCAAAGCCCTGAGGTTCTGTGGTACTGGATACAGTACAGGGCTGAGCAGGAAAAGGAAAGGAAGCCCACTATTTGGTGAAGGTGTACCATAGGGCAGGTACCAGACTTTGGGGAAGGTCTCAGATCCCATTTGCAGATCCTGTTCCTATACCGTTTGAGACACCTAAGTCACAGGAGCTGACATGGGATTTACACATACTAAGCACCGGGAGGGCAGAGTGGGGCAGGGCACAAGTTAAATCAACAAGGTACCCCAAAACAGAGGGCAAGCTCTTGCCAGCCTGGGATGCTGTGTCCTAGTCCCAGCTTTTGGGACAACAGAGGAGCTCGAGGAGGACCACACAAATTTCAGTAACTGAGCAAGATTACATATACCCCCCGCCCTAGCGCTGCCTGGATCCCAGTGTGGGAGGTGAGCATTAAGCTCCCTCAGCTTTTATTCTTCATCACCCTCCCCGACTCCTGATGACAGCAGCCTCTAGCCACTCTTCTAGCATGTGCAGGGCAGCTCAGGCAGATGGTGGCTTAAAAAGAGAAGTCAGGTATACTCTATGTCCGCATATACCTTCCTGCCACAGGACTTCACCAAAAGGCAGGATCCCCCAGCCCTCGGTTCTTCTCACCCCTTGATCCCAGGCAGGGTCAGTGAGAGGGTGGGCAGAGATGGCTTGCTGGGGGTCGTGGGGTATTAAGATGGGAAGATCACACCAAACCCTTGAAGAATGGCACCTTTCTCCACATTGTGAGATACACCTCCTCGAGGTCAGACACAGATCTAAGTTGTGGCCATCAGTGGATGCTCACCTCCTTGCCCTGTGGTTGGGGAGACACTCAGGCTGAGGACAAATGTGTGCCAGACAAGATCAACTCTGTTTACGACAGTCTGAAGCAAACTTGGCCTTGGGGTTCCGAGGAAGGGCAGGGTGAGCCTGGTCAGACGACAGCAAGCAGAACAAGGACAGCGGCAGCAGTGTGCAGACACAGGACATCAGCTTGAGACGATGAAACAGCAGGAGTGTCCTGGGCACAGCTCTGATTGAGCTGCCCCCAACTCTCTTGCCTCCAGGTGGGAGGCCCCGTACGTGCAACTCAGTCCCAAGGAAAATTCTAGTTAGTCCAAGCCCAGGGGCATCCCAGGCAGGTGGAGCTCTTCGGAGGCTCAAGGAGGAAAACAGGCATTTGGGCATTAGTTCAGGTTCCCGCTCCACAATAAGGCAACTTTTAAAAAAATATTATTTTCAAAAACAGAACAGAAGAAAAATTCCAAGGAGGGGTAAAGACATCACTTTCTATGGATTAGGTGGGCTCTGATTTTTTTTGTCTTTTTTTTTATGGTCGATTTTGTCTTTTTTTTTTCTTTTGTTGTTGTTGTTTGTTGGTTTTTTTTTTTTTTGGTTTGGGTTTTTTTTGTTTTGTTTTGTTTTCTGTTTTCCCAAGGATGGAAAGGTCAGACGAAAAATAAAATAAATCATCTTTCAATAGTCTCTTCTGGTGTGAGCAGCGTCTCTGGGCTGGGGAGGGGGGGAGGGCAGGAGAGGCTAAAACTCCCCGACCCCCACTCTGAGATCCTTTGGTTTCCTTCCCCCAGAGGTGGCAGAAGGGTATGCGGAACAGCAGGGGACACGGTGATGGCAAACCCCAGTTGATCAAGGGGCTGGTGCTTCTGGGGCTCATGGGCACCGCCAGAGTCTTCTGGTGGGCTGCATAGTTGGCTTGAGGGGAGCGGGAAGAGGCAGGGACACAGGTCGGCTAACAGCCGCAAGAAAGGGCTGAAGAGTGATTTTGGTAATCCAGACAAACTATCAATAATTTAAAACTTGATATATATATATGTATGTATATATATATATATATAAAAATCTCCCCCCTTTCCCTCCCCCCTTAGAAGTTAAGATGGAAGTCATGGAGACAGAAGGGGAAGGGGAGACTTGGAGGCTCCTGCCCAGGGGCACCACTAATAGCCCAAATGGTGTACACTGCTACTTAGTGCAAAGGCCTATCTTAGTAACTCCAGGCCTGTCCCTTCACTGTCCACTCTCCTGGGACTGGGCACCCCCATGGATCCTCGCCCACCCCACCCCTTCTATTCCAAACCCCAGGGGGCTTCTGGGCATTCACTTTCCCAAAGTCAGTGTGTCCAAGTGCTGGCTTGTCCATTTGGCATCTTCCCGAGTAGCCTGGCCAGTAGGTGTCGTAGGGGGTTGGCAGATCCCAGTGGCAGGCCTGCTGGAAGACTGGGAAGGGCACCGCTTCCTGCCCTCACCGCTGCCTCCTGCTACCACTGGGTGTCGCTTGTGGTTGCCTTCCTCGCCCATGGGGGGCTGTAATAGAGGAGTCACAAGTGGTCAGAGAGAGTACTAGTCACACCACTTTCCAGGACCAATCAGAGGCCTCCTTTCCATGGACCTCCAAATGTAGACAATGGTTTGATTTACAAATGAAGTAGGGATCATCCTGTCCTTTCATGTTGACAATACCAGAAATAAGGTTAACTGACCAAACAGATCAAGTAATTTGTCAAAGACCTCCTATATTTAGGCCTACATTCTGAAGACCAGGTTTTGACCCTACAAATTATTCGTCCTCTTCTATGAAGGGGTCTCTTACTTAGGAGATGACCTGTGGCATACAGCATGGTGCATGTATTGGCTCCACAGGGCCACATACACTGGGACTGTCTTACTCCAGCCCTCACTAAGCCCACAAGTCAACAATGAAGACTGTCTGCCCTAACTAAAGGTCACCAAAAGTACCCAGCTACCTATAGGTTCTCTGAACATACTCTCCTCCCCAAAGAGTGGGTAAGAACACAAGCCTAGTGGGCTTACTAGTCTGAACACTGCAAACAGTATCAGTTGAAAAATAACTGATGGCTATTGCTACTTACTTACACCTACCACTTTCTGCTCAAAGTTCTCAAGAGAACAACAGAGAGTGCTACATTATAAACTTTGGTTAAAGTCTTTTCTGTCTTCTTTGGTGATGGTCAGCCAACCCAGGGCCTTGAATGCTGCTAAACATGTACCTTACCACTGAGGTACACCCCCAGCACCCCTTAGCACAGGTACCAATCATGTGTCACTTAAGCTGACTTTAAAGACAGCCTTTGATATTCGGAAGCAATACCCAGACTCACCACAGGATGGCACTGTTCAGGCACTGTTCCAAACAATGGAGAATTGGACATTAATTTACAAATTTCTGAACTTTTCCCAGAAGGAACAAGTACATTTTATCAGGGTAGCTGGTCCTGGTCCTGACACAAGCTAGCAGTAGCGGGCCTGGGAAGCAGGTGGGCTGTGACACGAGGGGAAGGACAACAGGAGGGAGGCTGGGAACCAACAACTCTAGCGAGCACCCGCTGTCCACTCTCACCATGACCTCACAAGAGGGAGGCTGCTCTTTACAGGACAATTAGGAGCCAGAAGAGAAGCTTTCACTCACGTCCACTCGGAAGTCTTCTAGACGTCGGAATTTGCCGAGGTATTCTTGCAGTTTGGGGTCAATGTCCAAATTTTTGGCTTTGGAATATTTCAA